GATTGAGTCTTGCTCTGTTGCCCAGGCTGGAGTGCAGTGGCTTGGTCTAGGCTTACTGCAACCTCCGCCTACCATACCGGGTTCAAGCAATTCTCCTGCCTCAGCCTGCCCAGTAGCTAGGATTATAGGCACACGCTACCACACCCAGCTAATTTTTATATTTTTGGTAGAGACGGGGTATTGCCATGTTGGCCAGGCTGGTCTTAAACTCCTGACCTCAGGTGATCCACCCACCTCAGCCTCCCAAAGTGCTGGGATTATAGGCATGAGCCACCATGCCCAAACAATTATTTCATTCCCTTTTATGTCTGAGTAGTATTCCATGGTTTATAGATACCACATTTTCTTCATTCACTCATTGATGTGTGGACACTTAGGTTGTGAATTCTCCAGCTTATATTTTCAGTTTTTTGAGGACTCTCCATCTTTTTCCCATAATAGCTGTACTAGTTTCCATTCCCATCAATAGTATATAAGAGTTCCGCTTTCTTCACATCCTCGCCAACACTTATTATTGTTTACCTTTTTGCTAGTAGCCTCTCTCAGTGGAGTGAGGCAATATCTCACTGTGGTTTTGATTTTCATTTCCCTGATGAGTAATGTTGAGAATTTTTTCATATACTTGTTGGCCATTTGTATATCTTCTTTTGAGAAGTGTCTGTTCAGGTCATTTTAATCACAGTTAAATATCGACATGAGTTTTGGAGGGGACATTCAAACCATAGCATCAAACTTTAATCTCTTAGATCTGTTGATATTTTTCCTCTCAGTCAGGGCACTCACTCCCCAGTTTGCCTCAGATGTTGTTTGCCTATTACATGAATGCATTTACATTTGGAATTCCACAGTTGTCAATATAGTTGGAGATCTAGGTATATAGGAAGAAAATGGTATTTTTTGGAGACTTGAGAGGAACACAGATAAGACTAGCAAAGGAACTGTTGAATAGCACCGGTGCCACCAGATTCACACACCAGATGCTTCCTTTTAATAAAGTTAAAATGTTTGTAGTAAGAAAATTCTATTAATATTTATTTTCTGCATTTTAATCTCGTCAAGGACTGTTTTTGTTGTTGTTGTTGTTTGTTTGTTTGTTTGTTTTTTGAGATAGAATCTTGCTCTGTTGCCCAGGCTGGAGTGCAATGGCACGATCCCCACACACTGCAACATCTGCCTCCTGGGTACAAACAATTCTCCTGTCTCAGCCTCCCAAGTAGCCGGGATTACAGGCATCAGCCACGATGCCCAACTAATTCTTTGTATTACGAGGTTTCGCCATGTTGGCCAGGCTGGTCTCGAACTCTTGACCTCGTGATCTGCCTGCCTTGGTTGTATTCCCAAAGTGCTGGGATTACAGGCATGAGCCCCTGCACCCGGCCAGGACTGTTTTATTTGTCTCAATCTCTTCAGATAATATTGTTGGTGGTTAAAAAACTGAAAGCATTAGTTTATATTTTTTAAATGAAAAATAATACACTTGATGAATATGTAGCTTGAGCAGTCTGCCAAAGCCATAACTCTGAGAACCAAACCCAATTCTAAAAATGTTTATTTGATGTTATCACAAAATATATTTTAAAACTGGAGCCATCTGCCTTCCAAAGTTTATCTCCACTGCACCTGCGCTCAGAAATACTTCTGCCTACACACAGGAACTATTGTTTAAAGATTTTGCTGTTACTTCAATATGCAGGCTCTCTAGGAATTATTCACACTTTAAAATTTATTTTTGAAAAATAATGAGGGTGGGCACAGTGGCTCATACCTATAATCCCAGAACTTTGGGAGTCCAAGGCAGGCAGATCATGAGGTCAGGAGACGGAGACCATCCTGGCCAACATGGTTACATTTTACTAAGATACAAAAAATTAGCGGGACCTGGTGGTGCACGCCTGTAGTCTCAGCTACTTGGGAAGCAGAGGCAGGGGAATCACTTGAATGCAGAAGGCGGAGAGACTGCAGTGAGCCGAGGTCACGTCACTGCACTCCAGCCTGGCGATAGAGTGAGACTCCATCTCAAAAAATAATAATAATACAATATTTTGTAAAATATTGAATGCATACTGTAAAAAAACAAGAGAAAACCCCAAGTTCTACTAAGACATGCAGGCAAATTATATCTTTTCCCACCTCTATCTGTAGTCTGTTTTACTGGAAATAACCACTATTCCAAGTTTCTTGAGGATCCATCCAAGGATAGTCTCTGAACACACACATGCACATGCACACCCAAAGCCTCCTTTTTTCGCACATATGGCAACATATTGTGTATGTTTCTCTACACCTGTTTTGTTTTCATTTTACCTAACATATCTAAGGAGAGTTTTCTGGTATCAGTATATATATCTGCACTATTTTTTTTGGCTCATACTATTATATTATGTGAATGTTTTATTATTTAACCAGTTTCTTATTGATGAATAGGCTTGCAATCTTTCTACTACAAATAGGACCACTAAGAACCCCTTTATTTCTGTCTTTGTGCATGGGTGCACTTATATAGGACAAATTTCTAGAATTGGAATTATGGGGTCGGAAAGATATGTGCGTTTTTAATTTTATTTGTTACTGTTCAGTGGCCCTACAAAGAATTACCAGTTTACATTTTACTAGTGTATAAAAGTGCAGTTTTCTGGCTGGGCACGGTGGCTCACGCTTGTAATCCCAGCACTTGGGGAGGCTGAGGTGGGCAGATCACAAGGTCGGGAGTTCAAGACCAGCGTGACCAATATGGTGAAACCCCATCTCTACTAAAAATACAAAAATTAGCTAGGCATGATGTCAGGCGCCTGTAGTCCCAGCTACTCAGGAGGCTGAGGCCAGAGAATTTCTTGAACCCAAGAGGTCGTAGTTGCAGTGAGCTGAGATCGTGCCACTGCACTCTACCCTGGGCGACAGAGTAAGACTGTTTAAAAAAAAAAAAAGTGCAGTTTTCTAACACCTTTGCCAACAGTTTTATCAGATATTTTGATTTTTGCTTATCTATTAGGTGAAAAATTATATTTTACTGTGGTTTTAATTTGTCTTGCTCTTGTTATGATCCAGGATCATTTTGTCTGGGTAAGAACACTAGCTCAGAACTGCCAGGCAGATAGATTGGGACCCCACTTGTTGGTCATCATTGTCATCTACACTGCTTTTTTTTTCTCTCTTATTCTTTTCCTTGGGGCAAAAGTCAGAAAGTATTGTTTAAAAAAAAATTCTCATGGGGAAAGAAACCTTACAGATAACTATATATATATATATATATATATATATATATATATAAAATATACATATGTATATAACATGTATGTATATAATATATATTATATATAATATGTATGTATATTGTACATTTTTATATTTGTATAAATATATATATTATATATGTATAAATTTATATATATAATATAAATATTTGTAAATTATAATAATGTAAATATATATTTATATATTCATAATATATGATATATATATTGTTTGTTTTGGAAACAGCCTCTTGCTTTGTTGCCTATAGGCGCTGGAGTGCAGTGGTGAGATCATGACTCACTGCAGCCTTGATCTCCCAGGCTCAAGTGATCCTCCTTCCCCAGCCTCCCAAGTAACTGGGCCTAATAGGCACATGCCACCACACCCAGCTAATTTTTATTTTTTGTAGAGTCAGAGTCTTACTGTGTTGCTCAGGCTGGTCTGGAACTCCTGGGCTCAAGCGATACTCCTACCTCAGCCTCCCAAGCTGTTGAGGTTATAGGCATGAGCCACCACACCCGGCCTTAAATTATATGTTTATTTAACAAATTCATTCCTTTTTCCCTGACCCATTCTTTTTTCCTAGTTTGCCGCTACATCTTTTAAATATTTCCTGTCTATTCCTTTTATCAGTGCCTCTCACTGGCCAAAGACATAAACATTTGGATTTCTGTCTGTCTGGGCAAATTATTTCACAAAAGGTTCTCTAAGAATTATTGGCTTATTTCCTTGATTGTATCTGAAAATTATTTCCACTCAACAACCCAGTAGACTGCCAACTCTGTAAGGATGTCTTTTCACTGCTATTATTTCAGCCCCTAGAACAGTACCTGACACACGGTAGTCATGCAATAGCTTTTTTTTTTCTTTTCTATATACATATTTTTATTATATGCAATATCATAAAACATGCATAAAATAAAATTTACCATTTTAGCTAGCCATTTTTAAGTATACAGTTCAGTGGCATTAAATACATTTACATTTCAATAATTTTCTTTTGAATAAACAATTGAACAGTGATATTGGTTATTTGTATTTGAAAGTTACCAAGAGCCAGATGGTAACATTGCCCTTCTTTCCTGCAGACGAAGTCATACGGAAGCGTCTCCTCATTGATGGAGATGGTGCTGGAGATGATCGGAGAATTAATCTGCTAGTGAAGAGTTTCATTAAATGGTGCAACTCTGGGTCCCAGGAAGAAGGGTATTTTATTTCACTATTGTTTCTATACCAATGTCCTAATGTGATTTTAGCCCATACATTAAGGTCCTGTGAATAGATCAAATTTTCACTCACCTTAAATGTCCAGTGGAATCAACTCTTAATTAAGAGTAGATTTTCTTGGCCTTTTCTTTTCTTCAGAGGCCTCCCATATGTTTAATAAAACATAGAGAAGGCAGATTGGTAAAGAGAAATGAAGATTAAATTCAGACCCATTAGGATATAAGTGTTTAATAAGTATACGTATGTATTAAGCTGGCACAAAAGTAATCATGGTTTTTGCCAATATCTTTAACTTTTGCACCGACCTGATACACACACACACACACACACACACACACACACATATAATCTTTTTTTTTTTTTTTGACACAGAGTCTCATTCTATTGCTCAGGCTGGAGTGCCATTGTGCAGTCTTGGCCCACTGCAACCTCTGCCTCCCAGGTTCAAGCAGTACAAGTGCCTCAGCCTACCGAGTTGCTGGAATTATAGGCATGCACCACCATGCCTGACTAATTTTTGTATTTTTAGTAGAGATGGGGTTTCACCATGTTGGCCAGGCTGATGTTGAACTCCTGGCTTCAAGTGGTCTGACCCCCTTGACGTCCCAAAATGCCAGAATTACAGGCACGAGCTATCATGCCCAACTGTATGTATGTATGTGTGTGTGCGTGTGTGTGTGTGTGTGTATATATATATATAGAGAGAGAGAGAGAGAGAGAGAGAGAGAGAGAGAGAACTTTGCTTTTCACATAAATAATTTTATAGAGTAAATTGTGGAGACAGAATTGTGAAGATAAAAAATTCATAATGTATTTTAAAATGCAAATAATTGTTTGAATAAAGCATATATTGATAAGAACAACAGTCTCATCTTTGCATGTGTAACTAGTTTATAAATTCAGGTGTGCTACATTTGATAAAAAGAAAACTTAAGGAACAGATATTCTGAATTATTTTAAATAGGCAAATGACTCTCTCAGAACTTGGTATAATTTAATTAGCTAATATTTGCCTGCATTATAATAGCTCAGTTTTGTCAATCTACAAACATCTTTATTTTGGTTTTCTCCCTTTCTCATTAGATATAGCCAGTACCAGCGTATGCTGAGCACACTGTCTCAATGTGAATTTTCAATGGGAAAAACTTTACTAGTATATGATATGAATCTCAGAGAAATGGAAAATTATGAAAAAATTTACAAGGAAATAGGTAAAGAATATTAATGTTTCTATCTGTAATTTTATTTTGTATGGTGTAAAGGAAATAATATCTGCTAACAATTTTCTTTGGTGGTAAAAGAATAATAATTATAGTATTAACGGAAAGAATACAGCAAATGTTAGCTACAAAAATGTGCATTCTAATATGATATGGTACTTTGGGTTACAGCTTTTTTTTTTTTTTTAATACCAGTGTCTATTTTATTAGCAATGGAATTTAATTTATAAATGCATTTTAAAATTAAACATGGATTGTTGATATTGTTACAACTATGTTTTAAAAACCTTCTTATATAGAATGTAGCATTGCTGGAGCACATGAAAAAATTGCTGAGTGCAAAAAGCAAATTCTTCAAGCAAAACGAATACGAAAAAATCGCCAAGGTAAGGGTTTCGAGGGATTTAATGTGCAAATACTTTATTACTGACTACTATTTTCATGCAGTTTTTAATGTTGTGAGGAAAAATCTTCAGCCTGAATCAACCTGGATTTTAAAAAAAAATATCCAAATTTAATTCCTTAAAACTATATTGTTCTTTAAAATGGAGAAAGAAATCTGTGTTGGAAAAAAATGTTTTTGCTGGATTACACTGATTATCCAAGTATTTCTTTTCTGTTTTTCTCCTTTTTTTTTTTTTTTTTTTCCCTGGGTTTTTTAAGTATTAAATTTTTACCATCTTGGACCTTTTTGCCTAAATAATGTTACAGTTAATCAGCAGAGGCAGTTTACATAAATACAGCAGATATATGATTTGGGGTTTTTTTGTTTGTTTGTTTAATAGAGCTACTTTCCAAAAAATGAAATGGAAAAGAATTTAAACTCTGTGAATTTTCATTAATTATGAAGCAAGCAAAAATTTATAGACTATCTAGAATATCTAATAAGAAACTTAAAGTTGAGTTTTGTTATAATCTCTTGTTTTTAAGTTAGAGTATGTTCTTATGCAGTTCCTAAATGCTATTTCCAGATAATTTTTAATGTTAGAGGCACTATTCCTATAATGTAAATTGAAGAAAAGCAAAAATAAAAATCATAATTTATAATCACAACTGTTACATTGATAGGAAAAACTAGAATAGAAAATGTTAGTGGTTATTTCAAAGTGGTGGGGTTTTATGGCTTAGGTTCTTTTCTCTGGTTTTGCTTTGTTTTATTTTACACAGGGCATGTATTATTTTGTAATTCAAAAAATTCGTATGCAAAAAAATACTTTTATTGAATTAATATGATCAGTTCTAAAACAATGAATTTTACTTTTTAATTAGCTAATTAAGATGAAGCTTAATTTCCTCTTTTTAAAAGTTTATTTTTTCAGTCTAAAATGTGTGTGGTGAAGTTTTAGTGCCCTATTTACAGTAAGATATACCAACTTAGTATCAGTTCTAAAGTCATTTAAAAATATTTTGCAGTGTTTTTTTTGGTTAATGAGGCTTTTAAGTAAATCGTGTCATTCATCACTTCAGAAGAAAGGTTAATAGGAGTTAGATGACTTATCTTGGAGGTCTCAGTGGAGCAGAAAGTAGAACTTGAATTTTAAGTTATTTGTAACTTTCTGAAATCTTAACTTTTAGAATGAGGGAGACGTGTAATTTGCTTTTGACTAATGTCTCAAATTAATGGATGGATATGTTCACTGATTTTCTTTTTTTTTTTTTTGGACAACTAGTGAGTAAGATCCTTCTCAGAATCAGTCTATTTGATAATTAGTAATAACTTAAGTTCACTTATTCTTATGCTGACCTCTTATGTTCTGTCCAGAACATAACATATAAATGGAAAAAAAGTGCTAAAGTTTAGGGAGCTAAAATCCCTATTTAGAATACTTTTGATGTTATGTATCATTATTGTTATAATTCAGTCAACTAAAACTGGCAATACTCATCTTTCAATGATTTCGTTTCTTGATGTACTAGGGAAGTGATTAGGAGAGGCTTGTGATATTACACATTTTGTTTTGATAAGCCCTTAGTTTGATAAACATTTTTATGTCTTTCAGAATACGATGCTTTGGCAAAAGTGATCCAGCATCATCCAGACAGACATGAGACATTAAAGTAAGTGTAGAGCTTTACTTTGAAAGGAACTAAGCTTTATACATATATGCTCATATACTACCCTAGGCATTTCATTTTTGCAGAAATAAATATGTTTCAAAAGGAGGGGTCAGATCTTTGATATTATATTTTCCAATACTTCTCTGTTAGATTTATTTTCCTCTGACCTTACCACCTATATGTCTAAAATAAATGCATGTAATGTGGACAAATAGAGTGGACAAATAGAATGTAGTCTTCATATGTTAAAATATTAAATTTCAGTTAAAAAGAATAAACTAGTTATGTACTGTTAAAACACACTCCTCAAAACATAATCAGTGAAAAAACACATAATAAATGTTAAATTATTATTAAATTCCTGAAACACATATAGAATAATAACAATTTACAAAAGTTAGAACCCCCTTTCAAATATTATATTCCAATAGTGTATATTATTCAGTGATACAAGGCTATGTATAAAAAAGGATTAGAATGATATAGTGGTTGCCTGAGTGGGGGTAGAGGAGATAAAAAGGCCCAGGATAGAGGACTAGGGGTAAGGTTCAAAGAGTATTTCCAGTTAATTGGCAATGTTTTATTTCTTTTACAAAAAAAAAAGACCCTTGAAGTTAAGCTCTACAATATGTATCATCTCTTGGGTCTTGTTATTCTATTATCTGTATTTTTCTGTACTTTAAAAATTTATCCAAAAATATAATTTTAATTAAAGTAAGTCCATATTTAAAAGTTAAGAAGAAATCATCATTTTTAAAAGTCTCACCATAATGAAGTGTTATAACTCCTTAAAAGTTTTTTTTAATTTTATTTTAAAAATTCTATCTAGTAACTAAGAAGTTAGTTATTATTTGTAAATTCTTTTCCCCCGCTCAGCAAAATGTAACACTGTTTTATTATTTCCAGGGAACTAGAAGCTCTAGGAAAAGAATTAGAGCATCTTTCACATATTAAAGAAAGTGTCGAAGATAAGGTATTTGCATAGATATTTAGCCTTTGTGATTTATCTATCTATATATAGATCATCATATATATCTCTATATATATAGATAATCATTTGTATAAATTTTTCTCTTGTTAACACAGCTGGAATTGAGACGGAAACAGTTTCACGTTCTTCTTAGTACCATCCATGAACTTCAGCAAACATTGGAAAGTAAGTAGAAATAGTCTCAAAATAAATGTTTATGAAGATTTTTTAAATGAGTCAGGGATGTACCTTTTGAAACATATATCTTGGAGAGAGAATATACCTTCAATTTCTGAACAGTATAGCTGGATGACATTAGAAGATATTCATGTTTTCAACTTTATTGAATATGTGTAGAAAAGTCTTAATTTGTACTAATATAGGATTTAAAGATATATCTAGTGCTTTAAATTAAGAAGAATTGAAGGATGATAGATTTGGAGTTTTTCTTGGTTCACTGTAGTAGATTACTATAATGTAACAACTCAGGATCCAGGTAGGCAATAATAAGGAATCAGCACCTAAGAACATTTGCATACCCACCGAGTGCTGGGTGCTTTGGGGAAATGGAGACTTGCTCTTTATATTCACTGTAGACAGCTGGAAATTCTATGTTACCTGATCTTCTGATTGTTTTCAAGAACAGCCTAAGACCCTCTTTTTTTTTTTTTTTTTTTTTTTTTAAAGACAATCGTGCTCTGTCATCCAGGCTGGAGTGCAGTGCTGCAATCTTGGCTCACTGCAATCCCAACCTCACAGGTTCAAGTGATTCTCGTGCCTTAGCCTCCCGAGTAGCTGTAATTATAGGCACATTCCATCATGCCCAGCTAATTTTTGTATTTTTAGTAGAGACGGGGTTTTACCTTGTTGACCAAGCTGGTCTCAACCTCCTGACTTCAGGTCATCTACCTGCCTTGACCTCCCAAAGTGCTGGGATTACAGGCTTGAGCCACCACACCCTGCCTAGATTTTTTTTTTTTTTTAAGTAAAACCTATCACATAAATTTTACAGTTTGATTAAATTAGTGGCCATCTTTGCTTTAATTGTATTGGTTAATAAAGGATAAACATGTTTTCATGTGTTCATTAAATATAAAATATTTAGACAAACTTGACTAAGGTTTTATATTTCCTTCTCAATTACAGATGATGAAAAACTCTCAGAGGTAGAAGAAGCTCAGGACGAAAGCATGGAAACAGACCCTAAGCCATAGATAGGCTAATTGCCCACCATTCCCAGGAATATTGAAATAGCTGCATGAACATAATGTGTTTAAAATGGGTTGTGCTCTTGAGATATTTAAAATTTTGGCAGTACAATACTCTGTTTTTAAATATGAATGTACATTTCATTCATATTTCCTCACACAAAGGAAAATGACTTTAGTATAGATTTTTTTATTAAAAGGCATTTTTTATTCTTAAAAGGTAGGAAGCAACATCTAAATATGCTTAATAAAATGCTTTTAAGCTGGATATGTTTGTGCTCATTAATATTCTAGGTAGTTTTTAACTGACAACATTGATTGGCTTACAAAATAAGTTGAAGATTGTTAGAAGTTGGCATTTCTAGGATGTACATGAGAAAATGGGCCAGTTTCTAGAAATAATTACACTACTGAAAACAGAGTCTATGAAATGCTTTAGGAGGGCCACGAACCTTTGAAATTACATGCAAAATGTTTGTGGTATACGCTTATTATGGGGAAAGGTTTCATGCTGTTAAAAGTTACTGGCATGAGAGGTAATTATAAGATGCAAAGTAAAATAATATGCCTTACTTTCTATATCTCTCTTCTTAATATGTGAATAATATGATTCTTGTTTTGTTGATCTGTTTTCTCTATTGTTTTGTTCTTTAGTAATCACTTTCAATAGAAAAGAATATATTGATAAAATGAAGAGTTGTTTGAAGTAAATAGTTTGTTAAGATTGTCTTGCATAGGCCGGCCGTGGTGGCTTACACCTGTAATCCCAGCACTTTGGGAGGCTGAGATGGGGTTGGTCACCTGAGGTCAGGAGTTCAAGACCAGCCTGACCAACATGGAGAAACCCCGTCTCTACTAAAAAGAAAAATATAAAATTAGCCAGATATGGTGGTGCATGCCTGTAATCCCAGCTACTGAGGAGTCTGAGGCAGGAGAATTGCTTGAACCCAGGAGGTGGAGGTTGTGGTGATCCAAGATCACGCCATTGCACTCTAGCCTGGGCAACAAGAGCAAAACTCCATCTCAAACAAACAAACAAAAAAAATGATTATCTTACATAAAGAATTTATAATTTTTTAAAAATTAAGCTAAGGCTGAATCACTTGTAATTTTCTTAAGTATTGAATTACATGTGTAATACTTGCTCAGCCCCATCCTTATCCATTTATTTTAGTTAGGAACATGACAATTTGCATGAATCATACCTTAATGATGTTACATTTTTGTAATTTTAATAAGAACTTTTGTCTTTAAAAATGAAAGTTTAAAATTAGCTTAGTTGTAGTCATATTAAAAGTGTCATAATACCTATAAATGCTTCCTCTAATTTCATCTGGCAAGTCATGGGAAAAATTTCTTTGTAGAATTGCTATGCTATGACAAATGTTTCTGTTTTCCATTATTAGTAAGAATTATGAAACAAAAATTTGCCTATATTGACCCAGAATTAAAAATACATTTTTCTTTTTTTTCTTCTCAGAGACAGGGTCTTGCTCTGTCATCCAGGCTGGAGTGCAATGGCACGATCTCTGTTCACTGCAACCTCCGCCTCCCAGGTTCAAGCAATTTTCCTGCTTCAGCCTCCCGAGTAGCTGGGATTATAGTCACCTGCCACCACATGTGAGTAATTTTTGTTTTTTTTAGTGGAGATGGGGTTTTACCATGTTGGCCAGGCTGGACTTGAACTCATGACCTCAAGTGATTCCCCCGCCTCAGCCTCCCAAAGTGCTGAGATTACAGGTGTAAGCTACCACGACCGGCTTAGGGAAGATAACTTGTTAAGAGTCAGGGACAAAGTCAGAAGCAGCAGCAGGTACATGGGAAACACACATTTTTTAATTTATACTTCCTCATAGTTCTCTTGGATATCCTCTGGAACTGCTTAGAAGACTGAAGAATTTCATCCCCTAGAAACTCACACTGTTGAAGCTCAGCATGTCTTTGGGCCAGTAGCTTCATGGATTTATCAGTCACTGTTTCTATGAGGTCATCCACCTATGACAAATACGAAGAAATGAAGCCATGTGTTGGAAAGCCTTGTCAAAATCAAAGAGATAGTTGCTTTTCCTGAGAGATGAGTTCAAGAATTAGTGGACATTTTGCAAGTCTTAAAATGTTATTCTAATTCAAGTCATAGCAAATGGAGCTTGAAAACATACATTAACCACCCAGTGATAAAGACAACCTCAGTTCTTCTGAAAAGAAACCTATGCCTTCATTTTAATTGAATTCATTTAATATTTATCAGGTACATGGCATCATTCTAGGTGTCCTCGGCAATCCTTTAGCCACTTTAAGAATACCCTCCGCCTGCTAACATTATTTCTTAATGCTAATCATTAATTTCATCCCACACCCATGCTGTCTACCAGGGCTGTGTATTCGGTTAAGCCTGGCTCTGATGCTTCTGAGACAAAAGTTAAAAGCCTTTGTCCACTACCTGCATTTGAAGCTTTCCTACTGTCAAATCTGATTTTCGGAGGATGTTTTCCATGCGATGCTTCTTTTTTTTAAGTGCTGGAAAATGTGGTCTCTTTTTTGGTGAATACGGCCCCTATGGTAAAAATGCAAAACACATCAGATTAGGAACTACCAACATTATTTCTGTGATGGTGCTTAAACAAGAATCCTCACCCTTGGGACATTCTCTTATAAACTGAACATTTGCTACATAACAACTTTGGGTCGGAGACTGTATTCATATTATTCTCCACGCCCCATGTATCTTCTTTGTGTCCAGAGCTCTCTTTGAAGAGATCTATAGGGTCCAGAGAAATGAGATTGTCTGGCTCTGAAAGAATATACAGCATCAGGAAAAAAGCAGGTCATTTGTAAGGGAAAGAAGAAATTGACTCTGCAGCTACTGAGCACAGTGAGAGTGTGGGGCTGTTGTGGACCAGTGCCCCAGAAAGCTCATTATCAGTGGATCTAGTTGTTAATTCAGTCTCGTTTCTGCAGGTTTCCTTATTTTCACGGCAGTCATGTCTTCAAACATAAAAAGAAAGCTCTGGGTTCTTTTTACCCATGCCTGATACTTTTCCCATTGTCCCTGGCTTACTGGTTACAAGTACCTGTCCTAATAGTGTTGCAAATGGAAATCATTCCCAGGTCATGGCTCCAAGCTAATATGCCTTTCTTAGTCTTATTTAGGTCACTCTTCCTTCCCCTTGTGCTTAATGATGAGCTTTAGGACTACTGTGAGACCTACACAATGCAGGATATGGAACCACATCTGGGTCCTACCCTTTGCCTTTACAAATGGAGTCTGCTGAACCACTGCTGCCCTGCCAGCTTGACCCAGCTCAAATGTCCCTTGCAGAACCTTCCCTGATCTAGCATACTTGGCAGTTATTACCTTATTTCTCTGTTTGTTGAATACAACTACTATAAAGTCTAGTTCCTAGGCAAGTTTTGTAAAGCAGGACTAGTTGGGGCTGGTGTGGACTGAAGAGAACACACCTCCTGCAGTAAGTTGGTGCAGCTCCTGCTTGTTCCCTTGAGAAACTGGCCTAGTATTTTCAAATCTTTTTATTTTTCAAAAGAAAGTTGAAAACCCAGAATTTTATTTGAAATATCCTAATTTTTAAATGTGGACTATTAATTCAAAAAAATATATATACATATATATATATATATATATATATATATATATGTATATATATTTATATATATATTGAGATGGGGTCTCACTGCTGCCCTGACTGGAGTGCCATGGTGTGATCATGGCTCACTAAACCCTTGACCTCCCTGGGCTCAGGTGATCCTCCCACCTCAGCCTCCTGAGGAGGTGGAACTAAAGGCATGCACCACCATGTCCAGCTAATTTTTATATTTTTTTGTAGAGATGGAGTTTTGCCATGTTGCCCAGGCTGGTCTCAACCTCCTGAGCTCAAGTGAGCCTCCTGCCTCAGCCTCCCAAAGTACCAGGATTACAGACATGAGTCATTCCATCCAGCCAATTCAAATATATTTTTGAGAACATTCTGAGTGCTAAACAAAACACTTTTATAGCTAGTTGACAACCTGTGATCTAACATTATTTGATTGACAGAAATTTTTAATCATAGCCAAATTACACCATCTTTAACCTTATGGTTAGTGCTATTTGTGTCCTAAGAAGTCTTTAGTCTGAAGTCATGAAAATATTCTTACTGTTCTTCAGAAGTTTTAAGATTTTTGCCTTTTCTACTTAAATCTATACCAGAACAGAAATTAATTTTTGTATATGGTGTGAGATAGGGATCAATTTTCATTTTTTGTCTATATGAATGCCCACTTGTTCCAGCAACATTTGTTCAAAAGATTAGCTTTATCCCACTGCTGTGCAGTGCCATGGTTGAATGCCTGTCTCCCCTATTTAACTGTAAGTTCCACAGAAGCAAGACCATGTCCATTGGATCTCCCTGTAGCCCCCAAACATACAAACTGCCCAAGACATAATAGGGGCACAATAAATATGAACCCAGCACACAGAAGGCAAAAAAATCAATACTAATATCAGTGCACTCTGACATTGGTGTTACAGAGCAGCACTGTTCAGTGGAACTTTCTGTGAGGATGGAAATGTTCTCTATCTGTACTATATAGGACAGCCACTAACTAGGTGTGATTATTGGCCATTTGAGATGTAGCTAGTGCAACTGGGGAACTGTACTTTTAATTAACATAAGTAGTCACATTCAGTTATTGACTAGCATATTGGACAGTACAGTTAGTCTATAGCATACCAATTACAACTAAGGACTCTAGAGCCAGGTCTTTCTGGGTTTGAAACTTGGCTCCGTCACTTACATGGACAAATTAAACTCTCAGTACCATCCCTAAAATAAGGTAATATTGCTACCTATGTTATAGGGCTGAAGGATTATCCAAGTTGTTATTTTTAAAGCACTTAGACTAGAGTTTGGAACATAACTATAAGTCTTATTATATTTAAAACAATAATAATAGTTCATGGTTCTATTTCTGAAAAATAATCTGAGCAATTTAGGCTCAAACATGCATACCTGGCTGGTCACGGTGGCTCATGTCTGTAATCCCAGCAGTTTGGGAGACCAAAGCAGGTGGATCACTTGAGGCCAGGAGTTTGAGACCAGCCTGGGCAACATGACAAAACCCTGTCTCTACTAAAAATACAAAAATTAGCCAGGCATGGTGGCTGACACCTGTATGTACTTCCAGCTACATGGGAGGCTGAGGTGGGAGAATCACTTGAACCCAGGAGACAGAGGAGGTTGCAATGAGCCAAAATCATGCCACTGCACTCCAGCCTGGGTGACAGAGTGAGACTCTGTCTCAAAACAAACGAACAAACAAAAACCATTCATACCTATGAAAAAGTAAAAGCTTTGGTTTGGAGAGTCCTAGATTATCTATGAGCACTTTCTGTGTTGTACATGTGGCTATTTACATTTTAATTTCAATGAAAATTAAGATTAAAAATTCAGTTCCTCAGTTGAACTGACCACATTTCAAAGTCTCAAAGCCAAATGTGGCTAATGGCTACTATATTGGACAATGTATACTTGCATCTTCACAGAAAGTTCCACTGGACAGTGCTGGTCTAATGAGTTCCACTCTACACAGTATGCACAGATAGGCCAGACTGCTAATATACTAACATTT